CCGAGCACCGCGAGCACTGCGGTGGCGCGACAGAAGCAGGCCCCCAATCCGCCGGGGAGGAGGAACACATCCGGGGCAAGCATCTTCGGCGACTCATGCAGCGCCGCTCGGGGATCTCCGGCCCCCGGCACCTCCGCGACATGTGGAGGGGGCCACGTTCCGGGCGGATGGCCATGGGGGCCAGCGCGCGCACCTTCGCAAACTGCTTCGTGCGTGAAGTCGCGCGGCGGCAGTGGCGACATGCGCCGCCTCCGCGCGTGGGGGCCCGAGCGCCGGGCTCGCGTGCCTTCCCAGAGATGGGCGCGCGGGGCGATGATCTGGCCAGTGGCGAACTCAGACCTAAATTAGTTTCGCAGGGCGGCCTACGTCTCGTCGCGCCTTCCTGGCACGTCCTGGCACGGCGCGCGAGCGCGCGGGCGGGTGGCCGCCGGCTGCCCTGATCTCGGGGGGTCCCGTCAACGGCGACCCAGCGCCACCGATGACCTTCCTTACGCACAGCTGGGCCCAACGATGGGGCCAGCTGCGCGAGGGGGGGCGCGCATCGGCAGCATCGATTCACATGAACTTTCAACCGACTGCCGCAGGAGCGCATCGGCAACCTCGAGCGAGGTTCGACATCCTCCGCAACCGGGCGCAGCATGCTGGTCAGCTGATGATCGGCTACGAGGGGCTCAGGTTCCCCCCGCTGCGCGCCGTTGGCGCGTCAAACACTCAACTCGCCATGCCCCCGCAGAGCTGCGGCGCGGCCTGCCCCGCAATCGCTCAGCAGCTCGCCCGTGTGACGAGCCGGCTGAGACGCTCGGGGCGCGCGATGAGAGGGGTCGCCAGGCAGCCTCGCCTCGGCGGCGCACTGTGCCCGTGCCCGACAGCGCGCGTTCAGCTCACTCGGCGAGGAGATTGCCGCCGACGGCCCGGAGCTACGCGACATTCCCGTGGAACATCGTGGCGCGCGCTTCTTCAGGGCTCGCGAGTGCGCCAAAGCACGCCGGCGCAGCGTCAGCCACCGCGAGCCCGCGCGCCACGCTCGAAGGTCATCAAACGAAAGTGCAAGGGCAAAGGCGCGAGCGACTGCGCTTCCCTAGGCAACCTGTCCGAGAAAGACCTCCAGGAGACCTCCGCGGGCTTCGGGAAGGGCAAAGATGAGGGGGGAGGGAAGTTCAAGGCCACGGGCATGGGTTCGGGCCGCCGAGGCAACCCCGCGGGCCCTGGCGGGGCGCGCCTCAAATGCAACGAGCGCGACTCCGAGGGGCACCTCGTGCGCGACCGCCCCCGGCGCCGCCCGCAAGATCGCGCTCTCCTCTTCGACGCCTGCGCCCCAGCGCCGCCGTCGGCGCCGTCATCTTCGCCACTTGCTCTTCTAGGCGGGGCCGCCGGGGCTGGCCGAGCAGCGGCCCAGCGGTCAGGATGGCCAGGGACACCTCCGGGACACCTCGGCCCGTGGCCCTGGGCACCGGGAGCGGCGACCATTGCGGAGCGGCGACCCCTGGAACGGCGGGCAGCCAGCTCCGGCAGCACTCGCACCGCGGACATCAACACCAGCAGCCGCTCCGAGTTTTTCGTCGGGCGGCTCTTGGCAGCCCATTGGCCGCAACCGCTGGTCAACTTGGGTAGGGGCATCGCCGCCGTCCCCGCCCTCGCCACACGAAGCCGAATTGCGACGACTACGCCAGGAGATGGCCGACCTCATTGGCCATGCGCAAGCCTCTGCAGCACCGACGTTTCCAGTGACTGCGCCGCCGGGCCGTCAGGCAGCAGCGAGGGAAACGCCGCCAGCCGCGCCAGCTTCAGGAGCGCCAGCAGCGCCGGCAGCACCAGCAGTTCCAGCAGCCTCAGCGGCACCACTACCACCAGCAACACCACAGTGGTGGACACAAGTGGGCGGTACATTTCCACTGGGGCAAACCCAGGAGAACGATTGGATAGGCGACCTCAACGCCCGTGTCGCCGCGCCCCCAATCCTGTCTGCCGACGTGCAATTGCCGAGCTGTGCTTACATGCTCTCAGTCTCAGCCCTCGGCATACAGTGCGCCATATGGATCGAGGTCCACGCGGCCACCGCAGTCCGCGCCGGCAGCTGCGTCGCCGCCAATGCCAGAATCTCCCCAGGACTTGGTTCCGTTCAATCAGAATCCTCGTCGACGTGAGCCAACCGTCCGGAAGAGTGGCCATGTGGTTCGCCGGCCGCGATACCTGGATGTCCGGCGGCGGCCGATCCGAGCACGATGTGCGCACCGCCCTCGACCGCACGCAATGACGGCATTTCGACGAGCTCCACAGCACACACTCATAGTCAGTATCATCATCATCTTCTCAGTCCTCTCATCTTCTCTGGGCCCCCATGTTCCTCGTCCTCGTCGTCGTAGTCATCCTCCTGACTCCTATTTCCTGCCCCTCCCCGCCGTTCTCCTATTCCTCCTCGTTCTCGTTCACCCCATCCTTGTCCGCATTCTCCGATTCCTCGTCCTTGTCGCCTTCCTCCGCCGCGCCCTCCATCCCGCCGCTCTCCTTCCTCCCTCCTCCGCCTCCTCCCCGTGCGACCTCCCTGGGCATGGTTTTTGAGGATGTCTCGAGTGGCGCGGGTTCCTTTGAATCGTGTTCGGCGCGGCCGCGCCCCACGGTGGGCACGCACCTCGGCAGTGCAAGTCGGTTGCACCTCGAGTTGGAGGTGCGCCGAATTGGGGGCAGGGAGGCGGCGACCACACATTCGGTGACACCCCTCACGTGTTCAAGGCCCCCCCCCGCATTGTTCAGGAGGGTTTTCTTGAACAAGATCTTGTTCAATATTGTTTTGCGCGCGACCCCACACGTGTTCAAGGGCCCTCCTCTTGAACAACATCTCGTTCAAGAGCAGCCAGTCCTTGAACAAGATCTTGTTCAAGAGAAGAGCCCTTGAACACGTGAAGGGTCACAACAACGAAATTATTGAACAACATTTTGTTACAGGTGCACCTCTTTCGTGTTCAAGGACCGACCCCCTTGAACAACGTATTGTTCAAACGATGGGCCCTTGAACACGTGAGGAATCGCATGTCCATCCTGGTGAAAAATAGTCATTACCGTATCAAGACGTGCTGAAGCACAGTACATGCATACTTCAGTCATGGTCATTTTCCACCAGACAGATCGAACTGATCACATATCTAACACGTGCTCTTATGTGCGTGTTACATGTGAAATTGTATTCTTAAGAGCCCGGAACACAATGCAATCCTCACCATCGAAAACACTATCCCAGAACCCTCCTCCTTCACCTTTTTAAGACGGCTCAGGCGAATTAGGACAACAAGGATACAGCGTCGACCTGGTCAAAGCCAAACCTGAAGAGCTGGCCAGAGGCCAGCTTCCCGACTTTGTTGTTTCCCTCCTGGGAGCAGCTGCCTGCGCCCTGCTCGCCCAGCACCACGCCGCAGTATACATCGTCGCCCTGCAGAGAGCCAAGAATGAACTGCTCACCCGATGCGCGATGCAGCTCTATCCAGTTAAACTCCGTTGTTCTGGCCATGCAGAAGACTAAGGCACGCTTCACATTTCCATCAATGGAGTGCGACAGGCCACTCAGCGCGCACAGCGGCGGCTCCTTCAAGAGGGAGGAGGAGCCAGGATGCGGCATGAGAGAGGCAGTATGCATGCGTCTCGGCAAGTGCCGCCGCACCGGCAAACAGGTGTGCCACCTTCTGATTGGATGCTGTGCGCCGATCGCACAAGCTCACGTGCAGATCTTCATTCGGTTCTGAGCTGGTCGCAACATGCGGCGCAGCAGACGGTCTGCAGGCGCGCCTCCTCGCGTTGCACGAGACGATGCGCGGCCCCGCCTCTGCCGAGGAGACCAGGAGGCTGAGGGAGGAAGGAGGTTGCGCGATCTCAGCAGATCTCGTCATCTACGGCATGTCCGTCTTCAGCGCCCTGCTCATGGACCCGGCCCGGCCGCCGTCCGAGAACAGCATAGCTGGCAACTTGTGGTGGTTGGCCGACTAGCTGCGCACCAAGCATGTTGACGACTTGCACTGGTGCGACACTCGGGGCACGCGGGCCGACCCCATGACCATGGGCAGCATGGACCAGGAGCCAATCCTCAGCGTGATGGGCGGCCAGATCAGCCATGTCCACGCCACGGTCAAGTCCAGCCACGAGTAGCCGAAGAAGGCCGCCCCGAGCTCACAGCATAGCTCGCCGCAAAAATAAGGAGATGACTATTGTGACTGTGTCACGAGATCTCGCGGAGGCGGAAGCATACATACTTCCAAGAGCCGCATTGGCCTTCTGGGGGCGGGATGCGTGCTCGTACGCCCGCGAACATCAACGGGCGAGTCAGACGAGTTGAGCACTCAGGTGAGCGGGCTTGCGCGGACTGTGTTTTGGCAGCCCGCGGATCTTTAGCAGACGTTCCTCTAATAATCCCACACTTCACTGGATGGGGGAATAAGTTCAGGGTGCCACAGGGAGTAGTTTCGAACCCTGCCAAAGGCGCCGTAACATTTGTTTGCTGTTGGCGCCGCGGGGACCAATGTGCATTGGGTTGGGAAGAAGTTCGGTGACCCTGAAACCTGCCGAAACCAAGTCAGCGCGTTCCCCCGCGAGGCAACTTTTTATGAAGGGACGGTTCGTAGAGCCCTCCTGTTGCACTGTATTTTTTTAAAAAGGTACGACGGACTCGCTTGAACACCAGACTTGAACGGTAGGTTTGTCCCCCTTCCTGATGCCTTGTCTGTTTCTCACCCATCCTGTCCGCTGCCTTTTCGGTCCTGGGGTACGGGGGCCTGCAGTGCTCACGTGCCCGCTTTATTCGCGCCTTCAGTACTTAACTGTACATTCCGCTTTCGGGAAAAGCTCTCGCATCTCCACGCCACTTCCTACACCCTCATTTCTAGTATCTTCCTCCAGCTCCTCCTCCTGCTCCTCCTCCTCCTCCTCCTCGGCCTCTCTTCTCCCTGCTCCTCCTCCTCCTCCGTTTCGTCTCCTTTCTGCCCCCCTTGCTTCTCCTTCCTCTCCTGGTCGAAGAGGTGGCCCTGATCACGAACGTCGCGTCGTTCTGAGGCTGCACGGCGTCGCACTACGCAGCCATGAAGAAGCTGAGCGACAGGCGGGGGCCGACAGCCGTTTGCATGAGGGCGTGTTCGCCATGGAAGAAGCAAATCTGGAGGGAAACGGGTCTTGAGGTTGTTCGCCGCTGTATTTCCGCAAGCTCGCCCTCGGCGGAAGCTTGCGGAAATAAAGCGGCGGCGGGTCCGCCGGCGGAAGCTCGGCGGACGGCGGCGGATGCAAAAGCGAGGCGTCAACGTGTGTGTGTGTGGCCAGCTTTCCCAAAACCGGCCAGATGAAATACCTATGGGACAAGAAAAGGCTGACGTAGAGGGTGGGTCGGGGAGGAGCGAGGTCGAGGAGGAGAGGGGCAGTCTTTGGCGTAGTTTCCTGGTCGCCTTCTGGGGAGTACCCGATGTGTCCAAGGAGGTGGACGCGTCTTCCTTCGATGGAAGGTCGCCATGAAGGATGGGAGTCCCGAGGGAAATGCGTCCTGGAGGTATTCAGCCGTTTTCGGCCCCTGGGTGACCTCCTTTTGCCTTGGGACCGCTAACAAGTTATTCGAGGTGAAAATCAGGTCTTGGAGGAAGACCCCAGGTCAATGACCCGACCCCATTTTCCTTTGGACCCGGCTCCAACATACCAAACACATGGACTGTCAGATTGGACGGTTGCATTGCACATCGTGCCACGTATCTTTGCGCACCCACTTCCGCCAAACGATCCCGAACGGCTGAACCGCGCGTTGAAGTCGCAGGCCTGCCATCTACGCAGCACACTGCGTCTGAGAGAAACAGAGTGGAGGAATGAGGAGGCAGGATGATGGAGAAGAGCAAGGAATCATTATCATGGAGCCCCCATGCCAGAGGGAGATGGAGGGAGGAAATGAGAACTTGAGGGACGGGCCGAATGAGTAGTGTCCTCCGCTTCATCCTTAGCAAGGTCAAACAAGTTTGGCACTTTCAAGCTTTGCCCAATCACGATTTGCACTGAGGAGCTCGTATGTGTAGTCGAATGGACTGGCCAGTTGCCGACTTGTTGAATGTTCCAGGTTTCTCCTGGCGTTCTGGTTCCCTCAGGAGTTCCTTCTTGGCGGTTCGCCGATTGGGTTGCGATAGGGTTCCAACCAGTAGGCGTTCGATGGAAATACATTAGTGTATCAGCACGTTGGCCCCAAACAGTTTATCTAATAGCTTCGCTCATTCCGCCGGCCCTGGAGCGCTATTTGGGGCCTCTTGGAGCCGTCTTGGGGGCTTCTTGGAGGCTTCTTGGGAGCGTCTTGGGGCTCCTTGGCGGCGTATTGGGCTCCCCTGGGGCCTCTTGGTGGACTCTTGGGGGCCCCTTAGGGCGGGAGGGGGGGTAGTCGTTGGCAGCCCCCCCCTCGGAGGCCACGATCCTCGTGAGGGGTGGCGAAAAATAGCCTCCACCCTGGGGATCGCCCGGGGATCAGCCGGGGATCGGCCGGGGTACTTTTCGTCCGGGGCCCCCCAGGGGCCGCCTCGCGCGCGCGAACTAGAAATATTGTTAAGTAGTTACCGGAGATCTTAGCACGCCTCTGGCCCGTTGGGCCGGCGAATTACTGGAACAATGTTTGTGAAGCCCCACGTGTCCCCCGTACGCGTGCGAAGAGCTCTGCCAGCGTGCGCTCGGAGCCTTCTGCGTGAAGCATTTCTTTTTGTTGTGTGTAGTCCTTCCTGCGTTCGTGGTTCGCTCTCGGCGCCTGCTCCTTCTTCCCGCTCCGCTTGCCGCTCGCGTGACCCCCACTGTGACTGCCACAACGCTGGGGGCGCGTGGCCGCCGACGTCAGCGTGCGCAGCCCTGTGTGTGTAACACCCGAGACGCCAGTTTCCGGTGCGTGAGGCCGCCTGCGCGCGCCCGATGTCCGCCGTTTCTCGGCGGCCAGGGCCTCCTTCCCCCCTCCTCGTCCTCCTCCTAGTCCTCGTCCCCGTGCTCCTCCTCCTCCTCCTCCTCCTCCTCCTCCTCCTCCTTCTCACTCCTCCTCCCTCCTCCTGCTCCTCCTCCTCCTCCCTCCTCCTCCCTCCTCCTGCTCCTCCGCCTCCGCGGCCGTCCCACGCTTTTCCTCCCTCTCTGGTGCGCCCAGCGTCCGGCGAGGCCAGTCGGCTTTGCAGTCGTGCTCGCGTCCGCCGGCGCTGCGAACAAAACACATGTACCACCCGAGCGTGAGGAACCCTATGCGAATGGAGCCATGTCGTGTGGACCCATTGGAGGCCTCGGGGATTCAGGACACAGCGGCCCAAGCAGCCACCAGGCAGTGCAGCAACCAGGGCCACGCGGGCGTTAGGCCAGGCAGGGAGAGCATGCTACACGCATGGAGTGAGTTGAGTACCAGCTGGAGCGTTGGATCCGTGAGTGGATCTGCCTAGACGGTCTGATGATCAGAGACTTTGATGCCTCTGTTGGTTGTGGGTCGGCTTTGATGCCAACCTCTGCCCACCCCGCCCCGTCTCCAGGAACTTCGCAGGATGGGCAGACGGCCCGCCACCCCCGGCACGGCCAGTGGGGCTGGGAAACTGCAGGCAGGGGAGCTGCAGGCACGGCCAACGGGGCGGGAAACCAGGAGCAGGGTTCGGAGCGGCCGCCAGGAGGCAGACGCGACAGAGAGGGCCACCGGAGCGGGAAGCCAGAGGGGTCCAAGCCGCGGGATGAAGGCGGACACCGGCACGGGGTGTGGCAGGCAGGGCCCAGGGAGAGCAACCCCGAGGGGGTCCAGAGCAGCCGTTGGTAATACCTGGCGGCAGACAGGGCCAGTTCCTCAAAGCACAAGCAAGACCCCTTGAGGGCAAGGACTAAGGTGGGAGAGCTGAGTAACTATATAGTGCTTCAGGGGTCCAGAGCAGCCGTTGGTAATACCTGGCGGCAGACAGGGCCAGTTCCTCAAAGCACAAGCAAGATCCCTTGAGGGCAAGGACTAACGTGGGAGAGTTGAGTAACGATATAATGCCAGACTGGACAGATGATACTATCGGCGTGTGGACCCAAAACGGGCGGACAGGAGCGAGCCCTGCATATGCAAGCCTATGGGTGGGATTCCATGGGTGTAGCCTATGTCCGTGCGGTCCTATGTGTGGGACCCTATGCGCACGATGCGTAATCTGTGGCACCCGATACCAGGTGTGTAGAATTCTCGACGCTTCGCGCATCCTACCAACCCATGCAGAAACGACGCCCAGGCGAGTTGGCGGTAGAAGGGAAGAAGATGAGCATGTGGTGAAACAGCGAGGCCCACCATGGTGAATTTAGAGACCTCTGACAGCCTCTTGGAGGCCTCTTGGAGGCATGCCATCTTGGCAGTCTCTGACTCTCTTGGGGCACGGTTGCGAGTCAAAAAAGGGGAACGTCCTCCCATGTTGTTGCCCCCCTGGCACCAGAAAGATCTGCTCTGGGAGCCCTCTTGGGGCGCTCTTGGAGTGCTCTTGAGGGCCTTCGGGGCCCCCCTTGGGGCTCTTCTGGGCCCGCCTCGCGGCCGTCTGGGCCACGTTGGGGCCTCGGAGGCCCATCGGAGGCGAGAAGGCGAGAAGGCGAGAAGCCGAACATCGTTGAAACGACACCTCGGTCAGGAACTTTGGCTCAGCGTGTCGTGCCGTCGGTCCTGGCCCACCGCGCTTCGGAGCGACATGCTGTCCACGGCCCAGTCCCCAGGCGTCAACGTCCCGAGCCTTCCCAGCCTCCCGCGCCGCAGAGCGGAGCGACACACCATCCGCTTGCAGGACGTAGCGTGTCGCCGGGGCCACCGCCGCGGCAGGCTGAGCAACAGCTCCTGACCGTGGGCATCTGCCACGGCCAGTGGGCGGTGCTAACGCAACTGGCCACGGCACGCGGCACGATGGAGTCACGGTGTGCTCCGGCACACTGTGAGCCGACGGGGTGGCACCCATCGCCATGAAGGGCAAGGGTCCTCGGGGAAACGGTCGCCCTCCCTCTCGTCCTCGTCCTGCTCGCCCTCGCTCTCGGCCTGCTCGTCCTCGTCCTCGTCCTCGTCATCCCTCCTCCTTCGGGGAACAGGGATGGCATCCAGCGCCGATCCGAGAAATTGGCGCAGACCTCCGAAAGTTCAGATTCATGCCATCATTGGCTCCACGACTCCTGCTCGTCTCGTCCGCGTCCTGAGGGAAACGATCGCCCTGCTCGTCGTGCTCGTCCTCGTCCTCGTCCTGAGGGACACGATCGCCCCCGCCTGCTCATCCTCATCCTCCCTAGCTGGCGCCGCCGCCGAAGTCTGCCGTGGCCCGCGCAGGCACGAGCTGCGCGCCCCTGTTTAGTTTCTTCCCTCTTCTACTCTCCTCCTCCAGCTCGTCCTCCTCCTACCCCGTCTCTTCCTCCTCCTTGGATAGTGCTCTGCGCTGGCCAGGCGCTCCTCCCTTGCACGTTTCGGAGCAACGCGAATGTGTTGTTCAGCAGCGCTCGCGGGTAAGGCAGTCATCGTCGCCTGGATCATGTGGGACAGCTCATTCTCCCCTGCTGGCGCCCCGAGTGGTGGGGTTCCCCCCCCCCCCTCAGTGGGTCAGCGCTCGGTTTCCATGTGACGATAGTTGCCGATTTGAGGGGAACGGGTCCTAGACCGCGGGGCTCTCCCCAGCACCAGCTCCTCATCCCGAGTCGTTCTCTGACGGTCACGGGGCCCGTGGAGGGCCCCATGGGGCCTTTTTTCCAGGACTTTTCCCGCCAGGACCCCGTTCCCTTCATGGCGACTTGGGCTTGGGTGCCAAAACAAGATTCCCCGAACTGTCCAGGTGTGCGTTCTGGTAAGAACTTTGAAGGGGAATCCAGCCACAATACCCCCACTCCCATGAGGCCCCAATAAGAAGCCCAAGCGCCCAAAAGCCTCGAAACTCGATCCTCGAGGAAGGAGGTGGAGGTGGGGGTGGAGGTGGAGGAGGAGGTGGAGGAGGAGGAGGAGGAGGAGAAGGAGGAGGAGGAGGAGCAGGAGGGAGAGGCAGGAGGAGGCAGGAGGAGGCAGGAGCAGGAGCAGGAGGAGGAGGCGGAGAAGGCGGAGGAGAAGGAGCAATGGAGGAGGTAGGTAGGGAGGGAGGAGGAAGCCTCGAGGACGAGCTCCCGCACCCGTTTGCTTCTCGCTGATCCCCGCGGCTTGCCAGGTTCGCTTCCGGAGGGTTCACCGTGCTCTGCTTTCCCTGCAACCAGTTCGGTTTCCAGGAGCCCCGGGGAGCGGCGTCCATCCAGAAGTGGACGAAGAAGAAGGGCTACATCACCTCGCACATGCGGGTGATGGAGAAGGCCACGGATGGAGGAGACCAGGACTTCGGGCGGATTGATCTCTTCAATTCTACACGGCTTCCTCGATTTTGGCTTCCAGGGGCCGTGTTCGGCACCCGGGGCCACCGAACAACGATTTGGGATGAAAGCTGCCCACGGGGAAGCGCTCGAGACCTCTGGGGCCCGCGGGCTGAAGCACGACAATCCGTCGGAAATCTGAAGACCACGCATGATGAGCAACAGCTGCAGGAGGAAACCGATGAGGATCAGCAGGGGGAGGAGGAGGAGAAGGAGGAGGAGGAGGAGGAGGAGGAATGAGAAGGGCGATTAAGGAGGAGGAGGAGGAGGAGGAGGAGGAGGAGGATTGATGAGGAGGCGGGGGAGGAGTGGCAGGGCAAAAGAGGAGAAGTTGGATCAGGATTAGGACACTTAAAAGTAGAAGCTGTATGATGAGAAAGGCAGGAAGGAGGATGGAACGGAGGTCGAGGACAAGGACTAAATTGAGGAAGAGGGGGAGGAGGAGGAGGAGGAGGAGGAGGAGGAGGAGGAGGAGGAGGAGGAGGAGGAGGAAGCCCAGATTGAAGAGGTCTAAGAGGAAGAGACATGATGACGAAGGCGGAGGATGAGGACGAGGAGGAGGAGGAGGACGACGAGAGGCATCGCAGGGTCCTCCTAAGACCTACCAGGCAGCACCATGCTTTTCTTCCCCGCATCGAGGGGCGTAGCGAGCAACATGTGGTGAGTAATGCTAGGCCTCCGTCTTCTGTGCCAGAACGGACTGCTCAGAAGCCCAAGTTGGCGCACCCACTGAGAAGTTTTGCCGCCGCCCCGGATACTGGCTGACCCCCAGGGGGCCCAGAGGAAGCACGTCCAACCGCTTGGCGAAAACGTTCGAAAACCTTCCTCCTCGATCCTCGAGGGCCCAGGGCAAAACTTACTCACCACATCTTGCGGGCGTGCCTGCGTTGGGCCAGGTCAACGTCTCCAAGGGCATGACCGGGGTCGCCTGTCCAGTATTCAAGTTCCTCCAGGACACGACAGGTGTGAGGATTAACTGGAACTTTGGCGCGTACTTCCTCGTGGACAGGCCAGGCACTCCCGAAAGGGCCGCAGTGGCCACGCCTTCCAGGGATCGTGAATTCTGATGTCTTCCTCGGCGGAAGGCCAGTGGACCCAGACCCCCGACCATGGCTCGACCTAAACGGTGTTTTGGCCATTTCGTGTGCCGTTTTCGTTTCGACTTCGTTTTGCAGCAAAGGCGGAAGTAAGACAAAACGAGGGAACACGACAGCATAACGAACACGAGAAACGCGGTTGAGGTCGAGCCCTGCCCCCGACGCCGTGATTGTTTCACGACGTGAACCCCAGAGGTCTGGACCCTTTCTCCAGGACCAGCTTTTCATCCTGAGTAGCCTTTTGGCGGTCCCGGCGCCCAGCGGGGACCCCCGGGGGCCGAAAGTCGCGCGAAACTTCCAGTCGTGATTTTTGCCACGGAGGGTCTGGGACGCAAACTGGCGGCGGGTGGAAGCCCGCGGAAGCTGGCGGAGGCAACCGCGAGACGCCAACATTTTTGGGGACTCGGGGCTTCCGGAGCCGACGTGACGTCCCTCCCTCACCGACTCGATCGAGCCTGGGCCGAAGCACGCTGACGAAGACCTTCACCGTCTGAGTTCGCCACTCCGCCCGCTCCTCCCTGCCGCGGCCGCCCTGCCCCTCTCTTCGTTGCCTCTTGCGCTGCGCAGTTTGTTATTTAGTGTTTCTGGGCCGCTCGACGGGCCCGTGCGCTAGCCAGGTCCGCGACAGAAAGTGGCCAGAGCCTGCCAGGTCGGGCGAGGTCACGGGCTACAAGACCAGCCCAGGCGAGCTGACCGAGACCATCGAGGCCCTCCTGGAGGCGAAGATGTAGGCTCAAGTGCGACTCAACAGGGGCGCTCCAGAAAGGGCCTCGTCTTCGATGGATCGGAGGAGCTGGCGCGTCTCTTCCTCGGCGGAAGACGGCGGAAGGTCGGCGGAAGGCGGCGGGAGTGATGTCGCGGTGCAGCGCCAGGGCGGGCCCCTCCCTGCCGTGGCCGCGAGACTGGTGCCAGGCCGCGGGTGCGCGGCCCTGCAGGGCACAGCCGAGGCGGAGGGCGGCGCGCCTGGAAAGCTCAGCGCAGGCCAAGGTAGGCCCGAGAGGCGCGACCAGCGCTCCATGAGCGCGGTGTCGAGGCCTATAGGCCCCAGACGCAGACAAGCTCGCGCTCCAAAGAAATCACGGTGAGTGTGTTTCTCATCGTTTCCGGCCTCCGCGGGCCCTCGCCGGGCGGCAGGACCGTCACAAACTATCCGGCATGTTTGGGAGGTTGGCACAAACACCAACATCGGCGGCTGCCTCCACCAAGGGAAGACGATCCCCAATTCGGCGATGGTGGTAATACTCGTGCTTCCGAGGGTGCCGAGAGATTCCACCACCACCACCGAAATCTACGATCCTCTTCCCCGGTGGAGCCAATTCCCAAGCCTTGATCGGTGGGGCGGCCGCCCGCCTCAAACCCCCGGCCAACGCCACAAACACGACGACGGGCCCGCTGGCCGCAGGCCATTGCTTGGGTGGGATCGCGGGGGGGCCTGGAGGGAGGAGGGATGCGGGGAGAACCAGAGCTCCGAGGTTCCGAAAGATTGGAGCGGGCGGTTTGGGGTTATTTTCGGCCTCCTGGGGTCTTCAACGGGCCCCGGGACCGTCAAAAACGCTTGAGGATGAACTAAGTGCCGGCCGACCCTGGGGAAGCTGTCCAGACCTCGGGGGGTCCACGCATCGAAGAAGTTGGGAGGGGGAGGCGTTGGACAGGGAGGCAGGGCAGGAGGAGGGGTGGGCCTCCCTCCCTCCCGTCCTCACCCCTCCTGCCTCCTGCCTCCTTCCCTCCTCCTTTCGGCCTCCCCCCCACCCTCCTCATCCCTCTGCCTCCGCTCTCTCTCTTCCTCCGCCCCCCTTCTCCTCCTCATCCTCCCCGATCCTACTGCTCCCTCCTCTCCCTCCGTCGGCGCCAGACCGTAAAAGACCTGGGCGGTTGCAGCGTTTCTAAAGAGAGAAAGAGAGAGAGAGAGAGAGAGACAGAAGGGGGATTGCGCGCGTTCCCTTAACGAAGAGTCCATCAAAAGGGCTCCTTAGTAAGGATTCATTACTGAAGAGCCCTTCAGACAGGACTCTTACCGAATAAATTCTTAATCAAGGATCCACACGAAGGAGCCTTTATTGAATATGAATCCTTACCGAGAAGCCATTGTTATGGAATCCTGACTAAGGAGTCATTGCTAAGGACTCCTTACTAAGAAGGCCACGCTAAGGAGTCCCGATCCCCTTATCAGCGCTTACACTGAAGGAATCCTAGCGGACATTCCCCAATCAGTGTTTACATTGAATGGGGTCCTAGCGGACATAGAAGAGATTGGCGAAAGTAGCCGGCCGATGTCGGTGGGCGCCCCCTCTCCGTCTCTATTTCTCTCTCTTGACTTTCACTTTCTCTATAGGTATACATACATGTATCTATATTTATATCTAATTCAGTGTTGTCGGTGGGCGCCCCCTCTCTCTCTCTTTCTCCCTCTCTCTCACTCTCTCTCTTGGCATTTCTCTATATCAGTTTCATTCGTTCGTGTTTCCCCGATACGCAATACATTATCTAATCGTTATGTATGATGCTTATTCTCCGTGTTATGCAGTATCTCTCTCTCTCTCTCATTCCCCTTTCTCTCCGTCTCTCTCTCTCTCTCTCTCTCTCTCTTAGTAGTTCCTTATGTTTGTCTCACTCATTGATACCCAATACACGAAAGCATATACTCGTTATGCATGCTGTTTTTCTCCGTGTTCTGCAATATGTCTCCCAATATCTCTCGCATTCCCTTCTCTCTCTCTGCCCCTCTCTCTCTCGCTCGCTCTCTCTCTCTCTATATTCGTATTTCTTTATGCCTGTCTCACTCTTTCGTTTTCCCCCCGCTATGCCATACATTGTAATTGTGTTTCTTCCCCGTGCTATGCAATCTCTCCCTCTCTTTATCTCTTTTGAAAACTCGGCCCTCTTGCGAAATTACGGCCGGGCATGGTGGTTGCAAGACTTTCGGCCCATCCACTGATTGGGCATTTTCTCCGGTGTAATAGCAGAGATTGGCGACAGTAGCCCGCCGATGTCGGTGGACTGCTCTTGGTGGGCGGCTTTCGGTGGGCGCCCCCTCAAGAGATTGGCGAAAGTAGCCGGGCGCTTTCGGTGGGCGGCTGTCGGTGGGCGCCCCCTCTCTCTCTCTTTTTCTCTCTCTTGGTATCCCTCTATATCAGTGCTGTCGGTGGGCGGTTCCTATCTCTCTTTTTTGTTATCCCTCTCTCTCTTTCTCTTGACATCTCTTTATCTCAGTCTCACTCATCAGCGCTTTCCCGATGCGCAATACATTATATTATCGTTATGTGTGATGTACCCTCAGTGTTATGCAATATGTAATTCCCTTCTATCTCTCCCTCTATCTCTTGGTAGTTCTTTATAGCTGTCTCACTCTTTTTTATACGCAATACATTATCCATTCGTTATGTCTGATTTTTCTCCGTGTTCTGCCATCTCTTTCTCTCTCATTCCCCGCTCTCTCTCCCCCTCTCTTTCTTTTGTTGCATGTCTTTATGCCTGTCTCACTCTTTCGCTTCCCCCCCGCTATGCCATACAATATAGCATCGTTCGTTTTGATTGTGCTTCTTTCCCGCGCTATGCAATATCGCCTTCTCTTGATCTCTCTCGCTATCTCTCTATGTATGTATAGCCTCTAAGGGCCCTCTTGCGAAACTGCGACTGGGCATAGTGCGTGCAAACATGTCGGGCCATCCACTGATTGGGTTCTCTCTTCTCTGGTGTTATGGAGAAATCATGTGTGCACAATCCTTACCTTGTAATCCTTACTAAAGTTCCTTACTGCAGAATCCTTAATACAGAGCCTTCTCTAAGGAGTTTTTAAAGCGGAATATGATTGACGGATTCGTGCTGGAAAGTTCGGAGAAAAGAGAAATCATCATTGTAGAACCCTTATCGAAGAAGCCTTGTATAAGCAATTGTTCGTAAGGGGTCATTACTGAAGAATCCTTCACACATAATCCTAGCCGAACAAACAGTCGTATGGGACTATTTCGGAGGAGTCCCTATTGCAAGGTCCTTCAGAAGGAGTCGTTGCAGAGGAATCCGTATTAAGGAACCCATGCTAAACCGAACAATCCTGACTCATGAATCCTTCACAAGGAGCTTCACTAAGGAGCCTAAGCGAGGAATCCTTGTTGAGAAACCATTGCTAAGAAATCCTTATCACGGATCCTTTTCTAAGGGAATACATTTCAAGGAACCTTTATTCAGGAATCAGTACTAAGGAGTCTTGGGTAAATTCTCCTCATGGAGGAATTCTTGTTGAAGAATCCTTGTTACATAATCTGTTTCTGAAGAGTGTTCAACGCGAGCTCCTTTTTGAGGAAATCTCATTGGCTCCCCATGAAAAGATAATGCTTTTGTGTATCATCATTAACATAATCATTTGTGTACAACCCTTCATGAAGAACCCTTCCAACGCCACCAAAGTCGCCAGCCGATGCTCCAAAGCCTTCAGACGCACACATAGTAATACTATTTAGGGAAAGCCCGACCCCCCGCCCCTCTTTCAATTCCTCAGAAAATGTGTTGTGTGTGTGTTGTTTGTTTTGTTGCTTGTGTGTGCCCTATGCTTTCAGCTTGAGGCACCGTTCGCTGACACCTCAAGTAACGGCCTCTTACGGCCGTCGATGCCCAGGAATACAGGTGTTCGAGTGATCTTTCTATGTCCCTCTCTCTCTGTCTCTTTATCTCTCCCCCACCCGCACAAAAACACACCAAAGACACAAAGGCCTTTTTATACGGTCTCCCCTCTTCCTCACCCCTGCGGCCCTGCCTCGTCCTCTCCGAGGCTCGAGTGCCCCTTCGCCCGCTCTAGCCGTCGCGCCGGGCCCGGCGGTCGCCCGGCCAGTCCTGCGGGGCTCCCCAGGGCCAGAGTGGCCCTCCGAAGGGCACAAGTCCGCTCCGCCACTGGGGAGGGGTTCGGCTTCGGATTCGCATCGAGTGCGAAGCAGTGCTCTTGTTCTACAGCGCCGCCCCTGACCTCCATGAGCCTCGCGGCCTCAAGGCAGAGCGACGCCCGCGTCTGGTGGTGGAAGCCGAGAAGCCAAGAGAACGCGAGTATGCCGCGGATGTGTCATTCCAGCAGGAGCAGAAGGTAGATGCGGGTGGAGGCAAAGGCAAGCTCTGACAAGGAGGTGGGGCAGGAGGAGGAGAAGAAAAGGAACTGGAGCGGCCCTCCACAGGGCGCAGTCCCACCCTACCGCCCATACCTCGGTTACCCCCGAGGCCGAGGAGGAACGAGGAGGAGGAGGAAGAGGAGGAGGAGGAGGAGGGGAGGGAGCAGGAGGAGGACCAGGGCAAGCCCAGAATGCATGGGCAAGCCCAGAATGCATCAAGCATTGCTTCGGCACGCTCTCCCGGCCCAAGCAAGTATGCATGTTCGCTACGTGGCGCCTTCCCTTGACAGACGATCGCCCCTTGGGCGTGCCGTGCGGGCCCCGTTTTCGACTAGGGAACGCCCTGCACCATTTCTGTCAACAGTAAATATGGGTGCTTAGACGCAAGATCGTAAAGCGAAAACACACGCCAGCCGAGCGACCTGTCTTTGACCAGGACACACTGTGTTTCGTGCTAGGAAGTTCGATGGAGTCTCAAGCGATGGCCTTGTTTGACAAGGGGCCAGCCTCCAACCGTGCTCTGCCGCACGCCGCACACCTGGCAATGCAAATCGGACAGGTTTCAACCGAAAGCCCAAATTTGAAGAGGAGCCGCCCTCCTCTCGTGCCCTTGGGACCTTCGGACACGCATGTGCTCGGCGCGCAGGGCGGTCCCTTCTCGAAGTGGAGCCCTCGCTTTGCCAGAAGGCTTAAGATGTGCGCAGCAGCTGCACGGATGGAGGGCGGCGCCTCTACTAGAAAACGAGGCTGTCGCTGGACACTCCCTCCTGCGGTCGGGAACTCTCTGGGGCAGCGTGTCGCTCCCCCGGCTCCTGGCCTCCTGGCCGCCAAGCCTCCACGCCCCGAGCTTCCTCGAGCCTCCCGCCACGCGGAGCGGAGCGGCACACGATCCGCTCGGAGGGGATCGCGTGTCGCCCGGTCCGCCGCGGCGACGCGCCTTGCAAAAGTTCCCGCGCCGTAGCTCGACTCCTCCTCCATCCTCCTCCTCCTCCTCCTCCTCCTCCTTCCTTCCTCCTCCTCCTCCTCCTTCTCTTCCCCGTGGGAGATGACGAGAGGGGGATGCCGAGCTGACCTACCCACATCCGCTCAAAATCTGCCCGCAGACGTCAATCCTGGCCAGCTTTCCGTACTGGATAGTTTCTTGACGGCCCCCAGGGCCCGAAACCGGCCACTGGAGGCCAAGAATGACGAGAGAAACTTCCTCGAGCCCACTCCTCGGGTCGAGGATCTGGGCGGGGGAGGAGGACCGTGGTCGAGAACCGAGGACCGAGGAGTGGGCTCGAGGAAGTTTCTCGCCATTCTCGGCCTCCAGTGGCCGGTTTCGGGCCCTGGGGGCCGTCAAGAATCTATCCAGTACGGAAAGCTGGCCAGGATGGACGTCTGCGGGCAGATTTTGAGCGGATGTGGGTAGGTCAGCTCGGCATCCCCTCTCTCGTCATCTCCCACGGGGAGGAGGAGGAGGTTAGGTTAGGACAGCCCCGAGGGGAAGAGTCTCGCAAGACTAAAACAAGGGGGGGGAGTGGCACCCCTCGGAGAGGGATTTGTTACCCTGGAGGACAGAGCTCCCCACACTCTGACCAGGGCCCGCGACGGGGTGCCACAGCCCCGAAACTACTCCTCGGCCTGGAGGGCCTCCTTGGCTCGCACTCGCTCTGCGAGGGCAGCCATCCGTCGCTCGTAATCAGGGACGGTGGGGGCACACGAGTGGGCCGAGGGAACAGACGTACAAGTGAGCGTCCTAGAACGCGGCTTGGGGGCCACAGACATTGCAGTGACCGCAGCAGCTCTATCAATCAATTGACGGATACGATTACTGGGGCCTAGGCCTCGCGAGTACTTGCTTAGTACCTCACGACCCTTCCTAGAGGGTCGTTGGCACTTCTTATCAAGATTACGGGAGCACCTCTGGGCCCAGCAGCCGCAGCGAACACACAAAAATTGGAGCCGATTCAGCTTGGCTTGCGATGGCTCTGGGGCTCTGGGGTGGATCTCGTGAGAGGCCACACCAATAACCAGGTGCCCCAGGGAACGGCGGACGACCTGACGAACGAACTCGGGGGCCCCAGAGCAGCCCAGAGCCTCTTGGGGGTAGAGGAGGAGGAAGAGGGAGAGGAGGAGAAGGAGGAAGAGGAGGAGGAGGAGATGCAGGAGGGAGGAGGAGGAGGAGGAGGAGGAGGAGGAGGATGGAGGAGGAGAAATGAGGAGGAGGAGGAGGAGGAGGAATCGAAGAGGAGCAAGGAGGAGGAGCAGGAGGAGGAGGAGGGGGAACGCGACGACGACGACGACGACGACGACGACGACGACGACGTCCAGGGGTGCGTCCCGGCCATGCCGCCGCCGCCGACGTAACGCCGACGCATCGGCGATTCGTCGTCGTCGTCGCGATGCTCCCCAGACATCCGACAGTGTGATACTTTGTCTCATGCGCGCCCCCAGCGAGTCCCGACCCCTGTTCCCCGTGGCAGCTCTTCGCCCTGGGTCTGTTTCTGATTGCCCAGGGGCCCGATAACAGGCCCTGGAGGCCGAAACCGAGGGAAACCGCAAGGATTCTATAGACGCGCTCATCAGCCAGCACGAACCAGTCACTGAGCTTGGAGTTTTCAATGCTTCCCCTCGAACTTGCTGCCCGGTTTGTTGCTGACTGGTTTGTGCGTTCTCATGGACAGCACTTCCGCGACTTCGTACGATCTCATGGGCGCGACAACCAGCCAGCGCTGACAAGTCATTCAGTTTGTGTTTTCGAACACTTCGCGTTGGACTTGTTACCCAGTCTGTGCTGACCAGTTTGCGCGCGCTCGAGGATTGGCAACATCATATCGTCGGATATCTGTGTGCGGCGCGATCCTCCTGGGAGGCTTCTGGCCGAGCCGCAGCGGCGCGGGATGCCGCCGGCGCCCCCGGGACCCGACGCAGCGAGTGAGGCTGGTCAGCAGCGGCCGCCGTAGAGGAGAGGCTGGTCGCTGCGCGGCCGATGGGGCTGCGGATTGCCCGAGGGCTCTCAGACTGCCTCTCAAAGGAGGTCCAGAGGTTGGCACCAGCACCGATATTGGCGCCTTGCCTCCACCGAGGGAAGACGATCCCGATGTCGGCGATGGTTGTAATATTCGGGCTCTTCAAGTGCGCTACCGGCACCGAAATCTGAGTTCATTATATTATCCCCTGGTGGAGTATTGGTGCTGGGAGGAAGCACCGCCCCTATCGCCTCCAGGCCTCCAAATTGGGTCCCGTAGATGGGGTCGGAGGATCGCGACGAATCACCGATGCATCGACGGCGCGGCTCGATGTGAGGCCCGTTTTCTCCACGCCGACGTCGGGCAGGCATCGCCGGCGTCGCAGATGCGGCGCGATCCTCCGACCCCATCTGCTCGGACCTTACGGTGGGGGCGTTCGTGAAGGAACGTGCCCCATTGATGAGGGCGGCGTCGATGTCCATGGCCAATGCACGATTGACTTTCCACTGGCTCCCAGACCCTGGATTCTTTGTCGAAGGCTTCCTTATCCAATGCCATCACCGTATTTGTGAGGTCATCACCCCCGTAATTTGCGTTTACTGCGCAGTCCTGGGCGGTTACTAGCAGCCTTGCCTTGCTCGATTCCTTCCCAAGGCGCGTTGCATGAAAGGCCTTCGCCTGTCGGGGTGATCATTCTGAGGCTGGTTCTTCTGCCCTCTAGCCTGAAGTGGGGCATGTCCCTCTACAGGAGGAATATTCCAAAATGTCAAAAACATATTGGGAACACTTCTATATGTATATATATGGCATGTTTTGCATATTTTGTATTGTTCGGCCAAAATCCGCCTGTAGGAGAACGTGCCCAACCTAACTCTAGCCTCGGGCCTCGATCCTGGATTGCCATGGAGCAGACGGGCGTTCCCATATTGTTCAATCCTAGCCAATCTCCTCAGATTCTCGACGATATCTTTTGTTTTGGGGTCTGCGGAAGTTTTCGGACGTTCTGGTTGTTTCGGTGAGGTTTTCTCAAGTCGGGATGCTTCGCAGCAGCTGCGCCTCGCCGAGGGCTTTCTGGGGGTACAAAAATCAACCCGACAGCCGCCAGAGGCCCGAGTTATGACCCGAAAGCCAAAATTTCCGACGAGGTGTTGTAGCTGTTGAATCTTAATTGCCATACGCGTGTTATTGTTGTTCACCCTTCAGGCGCTGTAACGCTCTCGCCTCGGCGGCGCCTGCACTTCCTTTGACAAGTAGGCTCACGTTCAGGCGTTTCGGGGGACCGCCGCAGCGCCCGTCTTCCCCAGCAACAACACCAACAACACCAATAATTTTGAGACTGTTCGTCCTTATCTGCTCGAGTGTAAGTCAACGCGCATTTCCCCCAAACCTTCGATGCCCGCCCTTTTCGTCTTCGATCGTACCCCTGTTGGGGGTATATCCTTTTTCCCTGCAGGCGGGGCTCCGGCAAGTGGCGGGGCGGCCGCGGACCGTCGGCCTGGCCAGCGGCAGCGTTGATCGGCGGCAACCCGACCCCAAGAGGGACGGACAGGGGACCGACCACGACGACGGCGACGACGACGACGACGAGCGAAAGCGAGAGCAAGAGAGAGAACGACAGCAGGGCCACGAAGGACACGAAGTAGGCCACGAAGGGCGACAGCGGGGACACTGAGGGAATGCGTATGGGGCCACGAAGAGCGCGAACGTACGGGGGCCACGAAGGGCAGATAATGCGGGGCCACAGAAGGCAACGATGGGGCCACTGAGGGTAGCACCTGGGCCGCGTAGGACAGCGAGGGGGCCACAAAGGGCGACAGAGGGCCACGAAGGGCATGCGCATGGGGCAACGACGGGCGCGAACGAGCGGGGGCCACGAAGGGCATGCGTATATTGGGCCGCGGAGGGCAACGACGGGGCCACTGAAGGCATCAACGGGGCCACGAAGGGCAGTGAGGGGGGCCGCGAAGGGCGACAGCGGGGCCACGAAGGGCATGCGTATGGGGCCACAACGGGCGCGAACGAGCGGGGGCCTCGAAGGGCATGCATATATGGGGCCACGAACGGCAGCGAGGGGGCCACAAGGGGCTGCATTGGGCCACGAAGGGCAGCGATGAGGCCACCAAGAGCTGCAACGGGGCCAGGGAGGGCAGCGAGGTGGCCACGAGGGACTGCAAAGGGGCCACCAGAGGCAGCGAGGGGGCCACGAAGGGCTGCAACGGGGCCACGAAGGGCTGCGACGGGGCCACGAAGGGCTGCAACGGACCACGAAGGGCAGCAACGGGGCCACCAAGGGCTGCAACGGGGCCACGAAGAGCAGCGAGGGGGCCACGAAGGGTTGCAACGGGTCCACGAAAGGCAGCGATGAGGCCACGAAGGGTTGCAACGGGTCCACGAAAGGCAGCGAAGAGGCCACGAAGGGCAGCAACGGGGCCACGAAGGGCTGCAACGGACCACGAAGGGCAGCAACGGGGCCACCAAGGGCTGCAACGGGGCCACGAAGAGCAGCGAGGGGGCCACGAAGGGCTGCAACGGGGCCACGAAGAGCTGCGAGGGGTCCACGAAGGGCTACAACGGGGCCGCGAAGGGGACCGAGGGGGCCACGAAGGGTTGCAGCGGGTCCACGAAAGGTAGCGAGCGATGAGGCCACGAAGGGCAGCAACGGGGCCACGAAAGGCAGCGAGATCCCGATTCCGAAGTAATCTGCGAGGGAGTCCTGAGCGTGAGCGCGACTCCTGGGTGCCTGATTGTCGGGATCACGGCGCTTGCGTACATTGCGGGAAATTCCAACGCAAGGGCGATATTCTTCAGTAGGTTGCAAGCAAGTCTCCAGCGAGAGCGCGACTCCAGAGCGCCGAAAGAGCGATTCCATAATATGTTGGAAGGAAGTCCCAAGCGAGACCGCGATTCCTGAATAAAACGCGAAGAAGTCTGGGGCGTGAGCGGGGGTCCTGGCTAAATTGTGAGGAAGACTCACGCGGGAACCGTTGTTGTTGTAACTCGGGGACGCAGTTTGAGGAGGAATATTTGCCTTGACAAAAACCGGGTGCGAACGCCGGGAAGGGCATTTCAATTGAAAAATGCAATGTGCACCAGAGGGTGGGATCAACAATACTTATTGTTTCAGTAGTGAGAACTCAACAGCAGCGACAACAATAATCATTGTAAGTCTGTCCGCTCTTACTTGCTCGAGTGTAATTCAATCGGTATTTCCCAATTCCTCGATGCCCGCCCTGTTCGTCTTCGATCGTACCCCTGTTGGGGGGTATATCCTTTTTCCCTGCAGGCGGGGCCCTGGCAAGCGGCGGGGCGGCCGCGGGCCGTCGGCCTGGCCAGCGGCAGCGCTGATCGGCGGCAGCCCGACCCCGAGAGGGACGGACAGGGGTCCGACCACGACGACGACGACGACGACGATGATGACGAGCGAAAACGAGAGAGCGACAGCGGGGCCACGAACGGCAGGAAGTAGGCCACGAAGGGCGACAGCGGTGCCACGAAGGGCATGCGTATGGGGCAACGAAGGGTAGATAATGCGGGGCCACAGGGGGCAAGGACGGGGCCACTCAGGGTTGCATGGGGCCACGCAGGACAGCGAAGGGGCCACAAAAGGGGGACAGCGGGGCCACGAAGGGCACGCATATGGGGCCACGACAGGCGTGAACGAGCGGGGGCCACGAAGGGCACGCGTCGATTGGGCCGCAGAGGGCAACGACGGGGCTATTGAGGGCAGCAACGGACTCACGAATGGCAGCGAGGGGGGCCGCGAAGGGCATCAGCGGGGCCGCGAGGCGCATGCGTACGGGGCCACGACGGGCGCGAACGAGCGGGGGCCACGAAGGGCATGCATACATGGGGCCACGAACGGCAGCGAAGGGGCCACTAAGGGCTGCAACGGGGCCACGAAGGGCAGCAACGGGGCCGCCAAGGGCTGCAGCGGGGCCACGACAGGCAGCGAGGGGGCCACGAAGGGGTGCAACGGGCCCACGAAAGGCAGCGAGATCCCGATTCCTAAGTAATCTGTTAGGGAGTCCTGAGCGTGAGCGCGATTCCTGGGTGCCTGAGTGCCGGGAGCGCGGCGCTTGAGTAAATTGCGGGAGATTCCAACGCAAAGGCTTCATTCTTGAGTAAATTGCAAGCAAGTCCCCAGCGAGAGCGCGACTCCAGAGCGCCGAGAGAGCGATTCCTGTGTGAATTGCTAGGAACTCCCAAGTGAGACCGCGATTCCTCAGTAAAATGCCGGGAAATCTCAGGCGGGAGCGGGGGACCTGGCTAAATTGAGGGGATGTTTCAGGCGGGAGCCGCTGTTGAATTTTCATGTCTGATAATTATTGTTGATCCCCCCCCACCGGTGCATACGGCTTTTTCTCCATCAAAGTGTGCCCTTCGACGCTCGCACCTTGTTTTTTGACAGGGGAAGTCTTCCTGCTCAAACTGCGCCCCCGGATTACAAATACAACGGCTCCCGCCTGAGATTTCCTCACAATTTAGGCAGGACCCCCGATCACGCCCGAGACTTCCTCGCATTTTATTCAGGAATCGCGCTCTCGCTTGGGACTTCCTTACAATTTACTCAGGAATCGCTTTCCCGGCGATCTGGAGTCGCGCTCTCGCTGGAGACTTGCGTTTGAATTTCCTGCAATTTGCCTGAGCGCCGCGCTCCCGACACCCAGGCACCCAGGAGTCGCGCCCGTTGTGGCCCCATGCCCTTCGTGGCCCCGCTGTCGCCATTTGTGTCCCCTTCACTGTCCTACGTGGCCCAGTTGCTACCCTCAGTGGCCCCATAGTTGCCTTCTGCGGTCCCGCATCATCTGCACTTCGTGGCCCCCGCTCGTTCGCGCTCTTCGTGGCCCCATACGCATTCCCTTCGTGTCCCCGCTGTCGCCCTTCGTGGCCTACTTCGTGCCCTTCGTGGCCCTACTGTCGTTCTCTCTCGCTCTCGCTTTCGCTCGTCGTCGCCGTCGTCGTCGTCGCCGTCGTCTTCGACGTCGTTGTCGTCGTCGTCGTCGTCGTCGTCGTCGTCGTCGTGGTCGGTCCCCTGTCCGTCCCTCTTGGGGTCGGGTCGACGGTCCGCGGCCGCCCCGCCGATCAGCGCTGCCGCTGGCCAGGCCGACGGTCCGCGGCCGCCCCGCCGCTTGCCGGGGCCCGGCCTGCAGGGAAGAAAGGTATACCCCCCAAAAGGGGTTCGATCGAAGACGAAGAGGGCGGGTATCGAGGGTTTGGGAAATACGCGTGGTTGGACACTCGAGCATATAAGGGCGAACGGTTCGAAAATGATTGTAATTGTTGTTGTTGTTGTAGTTGTA